ATATCTTGGATAGGAGAGAAAACGTTTTTTCCTGGAATGTGGATTGCCACCATCCTCTATAGAGAGGTTATTTAAAGCATACTTTAAACCGAGAGACTTCTGTAAAACACTGCTCTCTTCATTTAAACTGCTGAAGGTTGAACGCAATAAAGAGCTCTTCTTCAACTCTTTATCTGCAAAGTAAAAAAGATTTGCTGTTAAATGCAGTTTCTAAACCTAAAGAGGCAAAGAGCTTCCCAAAATAGACAAAGCAAATTTGTATTTATGATCTTATTTTCAAGAGAAACAGTGCAAGAACTAAAAAAAAAATAAATATATGAAACATAGAAGACTGTAATAGGAACATCAAATTAGATGTCTCGTACATTTTCATACAGCTCTATCATAAATGGATTCTTTGTTAAAAATTAGTTATAAGGCAGGAGTATTCTGAAGTTCCTAGAATGCAGTATAATCCAAACAGGCAGGCTGGAAGGAGAAAAGCACTACAACTTAAGCAGTACAACAAAAGAAGCAAGTTAATTAAACAAAACATATTTTTACACACAAACTTTTGGCACCAATGGAACAAATCAAAACAAACTAGGCCCAACTCCTGAATTCAAGTCCCTACTGACTTTTAAATTTATGTAACATATTTAAATAAATATGGAGTTTACTTCATAAGCAAGTACCCATCAAAAACCTTCAGTGACTTCCTTGACAACTTTGTAAATATTCATCATGTAGGATCAGGTTCTAAAGGAAATATGCAATCCCAGATATCTCCAAACTAAGCACTGTAATACTTCCAATAACACTGTATAGTCCAGCCACCAGAGGCTTCTGATGCCTGACACATAAAATCCATGCATTTTTCAGAATCACCTTAGCAACAGCTCACATAAAAATACTTAACTGAGAAGCATACCTGAATTCTCACTACTCTTCAGAAACTACACAGCTAACGAGACACTTTAGCCCCCTCCAAACAAATCTCCACTGTCTTTCTGGAAGCTCGATTTCCTTCTTAAAAAGTAGCTGCCAAAGAACATCTCAGTGTCCTGAATAGGCTGAAGTCCTCCCTCTAGAAATCCAAGGTAGAAGTTTTGTTGACTCCATTCCTTACTTCAACCAAGAATCAAAAACTCAAACTCATGGTCGCTATGCCCAAGACAGCCTCTGACCACCACATCTCTCATCAGCCCTTCTCTGTTCATAAACAACAGGTCTAGAAGGACATCACCCCTGGTGGGCTCACTTACCTGCTGTGTCAGGAAGTTATCTTCCACACACTCCAGGAACGTCCTAGACTGCCTCCTCTCCACTGTGTTGAGTTTCTGTTTCATGAAATGTCAGCCAGCAGCTTATAGAGTACTTTATCTGCCTGTTCATCCTGGTTGGGTGGTCTACAACAGACTTTCACCAGGATTTCTGCCCTGTTAGTCTTCCCCCTGATTCTTACTCAGGCACTCAACCTTATCATTATTATCCTTGAGCTCTATATAGTCAAAACACTCCCTAATGCACAGAGCCAGCCCACTGCTTCTCCTTCCTCACCTGTCCTTTCTGAAGAGCTTGTAGTCATCCATGCCAACACTCCAGTTATGTAAGTCATCTCACCATGTTTCCGGGATGGCGACTACATAGCTTTCCTGCTGCACAAAGGTCCTCCTATTGGTTTCCCATACTCTGTGCACTGGTGTAGATGCACTTCAGCTGGGCTATTGATTCCACCCCCAGCACTTGCATGACATCCCCAGGCTCATCTCTAGTGAGCCTGGTCTTACCGCCCTCCCCCTTTAAACCTAGTTTAAATCCCTCTCAGTCAGGCCTGACAACTCATGGGCTAGCATCCTTCTCCCCTTTTAGACAGGTGAACCTCATCTGTCTCCAGCCTGGTGCCAGGCAAATCACCCCATGATCGAAAAAGCCTAAATTCCAAGGATGGCACCAGTCTTTGAGCCACTTGTTCATCAGGTGGGTACTCCCATTCCTTTCAAAGTTCTTCCCTGCCACCGAAGGGAGGGGGAAAAACACCACCTGGGATCCTGTCCCTTCAACTAGTTGTCCCAGTGCCCTGAAGTCCTTTTTGATTGCCCTAGGACTTCTCAACCTCATCACTACCAACCTGGAAACCAGAAGCGGGTAATAATCAGAGGGCCATGATTATGATTAACCTATATACTGTGAATCTGTGACAGTAAAACCATTCACTTGTCACATATCCTAATAATGTGCTTGTAAATTACTCCACTCTATTTTAAATACAACTAAAAATTATTAAAATGTAGCATGAATAAATTATTAAAATACTCATAAAGACAAAACTCTACATTAATGGGTAATATTAGATACTTCCATTATTAAGGAAGACAGATGTCCTGTACTATCTGTTAGACTTACAAAAAGTTCATTATCTTTTGTGAATATAAGCAACAACTTCCATGGATCTACTCTTACATCTACATTGTCCCATATGTAAACACTGAAAAATCAAACCCACAGAGAAGTTCTTGCAATATCATGATTTCTTTTTTTTATATGCACATTCTGTCCTACTTTTGAATTAGCCACTGACACAAAACAAAAGGGAGACCTGCCAAGCCCATGTGAAAAAAATATGCAGGTTCAAATGGAGCAATCTGGAGAAATATTACTTACAACATTAAATCTTGCCACTTTTTTTAAAAAAAATCTGACATTTGAAAAAGTCACAACGAAATTTAAAGTATGACTATACCTGAAACTTCACAAGGTTTATGAGATTTCTGGTACTTTTTTTTAAGTTCTTCATGTCTGTATATTAGATGTGGTTTGTTATGTTCATCTTCATGTTCACCTCCATCCGCTTTCATCAGAGGTTCTAAAATGTATTCACCATCATGTGCCTTAAAGATGCCCATCTGAAAGTAAGAGAAGTAATTGATTTATTTTCCACTAAAAATACTGATATAAAAATAAATTTCATTGAAATAAAAATTATTTATGATAATATTTTGAAGTTAATGATAATACATTTACATGTGAGACAGAGGAAACCTCAGTGGGCACTGGAGATGGAAGCTGGAAGAGAATTTTGCTTTCAGAGACTTGTCCCACCAGGGTAACTCAGACTATCTTGCATATTAACAAAGGATCACAGGTAATCACTATACAGAGTTAATGAAACAAAGGGGATAACAAAAATAAAGCAAAACTAGGTATAACCAAGCAGGACCAGTTGAGAATGCTGTAAAGGAGAGCAGAGGCCATCAAGAACTTCAGAATTTGAGTGCTGTCCAAATTCTGGACTGATTTGTTGCCTTCTGTCCTTAACGTAATTTATATAATATTTTTCTTCTATAATTGAATTTTCCTCATAAATTAGAAACAATGTTAACCTGATATTCTTTTTAAAGACTTTGAAAAGAGTACCAGGAATTCAAAGATGACAGTGACATTAAAGGGGTTTTCTCCTTGATTCCCCCAACACACACACATCCCACCCATCTCAGACACACATTAACTATGTAATGGGAACCAAAAGAACTTGATTACTAACAAAAACACACACACAAAGAAAAAGAACAAAAATTAATCTCCTTTTCCCCAACCCCCTGCCCCATAATCCTTTTAATTATGAAATTCTAAAACAGAATTGCTTCTTTCTCACTGCACTTCTAACCAAATTTATAGTTTCCTATGGTTTAAGAACTTCACTTCAGGAGACCATGAGGAGGAAAACACATGTAAGAATGTCATCAAATTATTTTCAGATGTTTTAGCAACTTTCTCACTTTAGTCAATTAAGCATCTCAAGAGAGCAGTTGTACTACATCCTGGCAGATGTTTTGCCAGTTAGGCATGTTGACCAATAAGATAATAGCAATAATCTATGTAATATGCTTTAAGACATGAGGTGTTCATGTTAATCTTGAAACTCCAGGTTATAGAAAGAGTGTCAGAGCAGGATAAATGAGAAGGGTTTTTTTTAAAACAAGCTACTAAGTCTTTTAAAAACTGCTGCAGACTACCTTAGTGTCCAGGATACTGTACCGGAATTGCAATATCCCTTGAATTTGGGATCCTTCTAAGAAGTTATCAGTTTTCTTTGTTTAAGAGTCTATTAGGCTTCAGGCATGTGTCAGAATATCTGTAATCTTGCCTGATACATAATATTATTAAAGATACTGTAAACGCAGCACAGATGGATCCTCTGCACTACACAGCTAAATAGTATTTTCCTTTCAAGACTTCTTAAATCTAACTCATAGAGTTATAACTAACATCTAAATCTAACAGTCCTTCAAGACTGTTTAAATCTAACTCATAGAAGCACTTTTTTCATTCAGCTTCATTTAAATTCTTTGCAAGTAGTCTTCATGCCAGATCCTTTTTACATTCAGTTTAGCCTTCTCACATCCAGTGTTCCCAGGACATGCAATTTGTAGAGGACAGCGGACCGAGTGTACTGAGAACACCATGTGTCTCCTTGGAAAGGGCATCGGGAAAACAGACATGACACAGCTTGTCAGTTAGTCCTCAGGTGCAACCTTTGGGGGAAAATGACAGGGACAGACAAGAGCATGCCACTCAGGGACAAAGCATCAATTCTTGCTGCTAAGATTCATGCTAGTGTTTATTACATATACTATTAAAGTCCCATTAAACAAAACATCATAAATTTGACCCCATATTATTGGTCAACACTAACAAGTTAATTAATTCTTTTCTCCTGACATACCATAAACCCTCTTTCTAGACAACACACATTTAAAGCACGTTCTTTCAGATTTAAGTAAGAACTTTATTGCTACTGCTTTATTTCACACGTACATTTTACTTCCATCCTATTCTTTCAAACAGGTTGAGCAGATATTCTGAATTTGTTTCTTCAATGGTTTTTCCAATAAACAGACTTTTGGATTTTACAAAGAAGGGGTTTCAGCTACAACAAACACAAAGATTATGAGAATAGTAGCCCAGAACTAAAAAGGAAAGAGTCTGTACTACGTTTTAAACTAAACTGAACTTCCAAAATAAAATATCAGATTTCCACTGGAAAAGATGAACTGCAAGAACACGGCTATATTATTTTTATACACTTTCACTCTGGAAAAAAAAAAAAAAAAGGAGGTAAAACCCCCAAACACTAGGACATATGTTTTTGACTGAGGCTCCTGACTTTGAAAATTCACAATAAAACACCATAAATTTACAGATCAAAAAGTTAGGACAGATAGCTGGAAGGGAAGAATCCTTTATTATGCTTCATGACCTCACAATTGTTCTTAGTTTTTTGTTTTAAATCAAAAGATTAATACAAGACGATAAAAGAACGTCTTCAAGACTGGAGAGTCCACCCTCACAAATACTTGGCATAACTATTTTAGAAAAATGGAGTCAAGCTTCCCCTCACTTGCTCAGTCAGGCCCACTGATTCTCACACAGTATCCCAGGGTCAACTGCCTGTTTAAGTATGGAAGAAATAGCTGAGAAAAACACATAAGGCAACAAGCTTTCATTCTTTCCTCAATGAATTCTCTCCTCTTCAACAACGTACAGGTAAAGAATTACTACTGCTGAGCACTTAGGAAGGCCTCTCACCAGTAGACCACAACACTATCCAAGTTGAGAAGAACTCATTACGTTGTATGTGAAAAAGAGCAAAGGTTAAACATAAGCAGTGCTCTATCTTAAGAAAGGTATTTGATATTCGTCATTCAAAATCCAAGAAGACATTGAACTTCAAGCCACCAATTCTAATCCTTTAACTTCTCTATGAAAACTAAAAGTGGATTTTGATTAGCTATACATGGTTAGCTCCTCATTTTCCTAACACATGGGTCTACAAAAATTCAGTCACCAGCTACACTGTCTGTTTATAATCTTCCATTCATAAAAGTGATACTTCACATGGTGCTAATTACACCAATAGAGCTATTACATCTTGGGGGCACAAGGAAAAGGGCTATGAGATCCAAATGAAAAATACTTCTAGTAAAACAAAATAAAGAAAAGTCACTTACATGTACTCAGCAACAGAGGCAGAGTGCTGAAACAGGAGCCAAAGCATTTTTAGGAAATTAAATCAGAAATTAACTGGATTTACTTATCGTCTACAGATGCCTCTGTACTGGGTTTGCATGGCCAGGTTTTGGTAGTGGGGGGGCTACAAGGGTGGCTTCTGTGAGAAGCTGCCAGAAGCTTCCCCCATGTCTGGTATATCCAACGCCAGCCGGCTCCAGGACAGACCCACCGCCAGTCAAGGCCAAGCCCATCAGGAATGACAGTAATGCCTCTGTGGTAACATAATTAAAAACGAGAAATAAAAGTTGTTGGGCAGATGCAAATAGCAGGCTGAGAAGAGCAGAGTGAGAGAACACGTGAACAACAACGCAGACACCAAGGTCAGTGGAGAAGGAGGGGGAGGAGGTGCTCCAGCCACTAAAGCTGAGGTTCCCCTGCAGCCCGTGGAGCAGACCATGGTGAGGCAGCTGTGCCCCTGCAGTCCATGGAGGATAACCAGGGTACAGAGATTCATCTGCAGCCTGTGGAAGAGCCCATGCTGGAGCTGGTGGATGCCTGAAGGAGGTTGTGACCCCATGGGAGACCCATGATGGAGAAGGGTCCTGGCAGGGCCCCGCTGACCTGGGGGGAGAGGAGCCCATGCGGGAGCAGGTTTTCCTGCTAGGATTTGTGGTCCTGTGGGGGAACCATGCTGGAGCAGCCTGTTTCTGAAGGATTGCATCCCATGGAAAAGTGACCCACAGTGCAGCAGTTTGTGAAGAACTGTTGCCCATGGGATGGACTCACGCTGAAGAAGTTCATGGAGGACTGCCTCCTGTGGGAGGGACCCCACAATGGAGCAGGGGAAGGGCTCCTTTCCCTGAGCAGCAGCAGGAACAATCTGTGATGAAAAGACTGTAACCCACATTCCTCATCTCCTCGAGCCACTAGGGGGGAGGAGATAGAAGTTGGAAGAAGAGAGGTGTGGGAGGAAGGTGTTTTTAAGATTTATTTTACTTATCATTCTCCTGCTCTGATTCTGTTAGTAATAAATTTAATTAATAACCCCACTTTGAGTCTGTTTTGCCCGTGACAGTGATCAGCAAGTGATCTCTCCCAGCCCTTATCTCAACTCATGAACCCTTAGTTATATTTTCTCTCCTCTGTCCAGTTGCAGAGGGGAGTGAGAGAGTGGCTTAAGTGGGTACCTGGTATTTGGTCATGGTCAACCCACTACAGCCTCTCAAATTATCTAACAAGAAATCTGTCTGTAACATTCTATTTCTGTTCTCAGATAAAGAGATAAAAGTAAATTTAAAAGACCTCTTCAGCAGAAGTGGAGTACAAAATTGAAAACAGTCTCTTTCACATCATAAAAAAGTGGTCCAAAAAGGAGTGCTACCCAGGACTATGAATATGCATAGATTTGAGGAAATTTATGACAAAACTCACACGAGAATGATAATTTATTTTTTGGATTTAAAATACTATGGATGAGTTAAACACTTTATATTAAATCAAGGTTCAGTGGATCAACACAGCTACTCACTATATATGGTATGACTTAGTGGTTTAAAGTGGCTTAAAACTGTATAGTCTTAATCAATGTATTTGCTCTATTCCAAGAGCAATAGAAATAAATATTGCAGAAGTTATGGTTAAAGAACGCACGATGCCCATATACAAATTACATCTTTGTGTATAATAGCAACTTCATAGAATGCATGGAAAACATAAGGGATATATAGCAGGTTTCAGAAACGAGGAATTAATACGTCCAACAGCACAATTGAAAAAGTTTCATAAAAACTCTAAAAGAACAACTGAAGTTTGGGAAAACACGATTCTAAACCAGCAGACTCCCCTCCAGGTAAGCTCTATTCCCATGCTCAAGTATTTTTCACATACTCAAGGT